GAGAGGGGGGAGGGGGGAGATGGGCAAGAGAGGAGGGAGAGAGAAATAAAGAGAGAGGCAGAGAGAGAGAAAGAAAAGAGACAAATATGGGAGGGGGGGGGAGGCAGAGAAAGAAAGAGACAAACTAAAAGGGAAATAGAAAATATAGAGTGATAAAGAGCAATAGAGAGGAAGAGAGATATATGAAGATACAAAAAGAAAGAGAGAGATAGAGATAGAGGGGGGGAGAGAGAGGGAGATAGAGAGAGACAGACAGACAGACACAGAGAGGGTGAGAGAACAGAGAGTGAACAAAAAAGGAGAAGAGGTGGATGAGAAAGGAAGATCGCTCCAACAACCAAAGCCACTGTTGTGTGTTTTCTGATAACACATACATTTTGTGACGAGTTCAAGATTCAGGAAAGGGGGGGGAGGGGGGAGACCCCAAAAACCGTAACGTTTGTGATGGCAAGCGGCAGCTTATTTAGAAATTGGTATTTACAAACGCTTCAGTCAGCAGACGGTCCAATTGATAACGTGGTACGGACCACCGTAACCAAATCCTAAAAACAAAACAGACCGTCCCGATGAGCTCTCCGCGAAATCCTCTCTCATGTCAGCTGTATTTATCTCGTAATAGTGTTCGTGGTTATCGCCGTAAGAGACTGGTTTCTCGGAAAAACCAAGCCCTTCATGAATCTACCCCAAATAGAAACACAGAAAACCGTTTGAAATGTGGGTACTTAATGGTATTAATACACAAAGTACAATACGCACCCCTCCCCTACCCCACTTCCTCCTTTTTTGAGGTTCCCTTAATAAGCGTCCTCTTTTCATCCACGAGATCAGAGGAGGAAAATATCGACAAAAAGAAATACTAATCAATTAAATAAACAGCAACCCAACCACTTCCTTTAAGAAAGAAAAAACCCAGAGCAAACGACGCTATTCCAATAACTAAAAAAACGATTCAAAACTCCTAGTGCTTAAAATACATGTTAGCGTCATCTTCACTGAATATTCAAGAACATGCACTCAACGCACTTCGAGACCGCTGCCTTTGTTCTAGAAATAGGAGCCTTGATTCACTTGAAATCATAAAATGGTTCACGCATATACTGCCAGCAAGAACCAAGACGATGGTAATAGAAAAAGTTGGCCCGAGTCCAAAAGACGGTACACGGCTTTAACCTTAATTCGGGAGTGCTAAATATAAAAATCCTTTCACATTTTTAGGGCAAACGCTACTGATGCTGATCGAAATGACGAGCAAACCTCATTAAAGGCATGTATACGCAGACGATATTATGACAGCGCAGAAGACATTAGGCCGGCGCTAACAATTTTATTACGTCTATGAAGACCAGTTGACTTGCTGGGAAAAGATACACAGCGAATCGGGGAGGAGAACGGCCCAATTTCGCCAAGTAGTTACATGTATCTGTACTGCCGTCGGATGAGGTAAGAATTCGTGCCACTCTTATCGGAACATTTCCTCTGAATCTGATAAACTGATGGGGCGCCTGTTGATACGCCTTCAAAACGACTTACTTTGCGTCAAATTAAGCCTAACACAACGGTTGATACAAATCGGAATTAAAGCGCCATGAAAAACATACTTTAAAAAAAAGTAAAACTAGCAGCAAAGGGCTGATCGCTTGGGGAATCATAAAAATGGTTATATTAGAGGCTTCGCTTCAAAAATCATGAACAACCAGATCTATTCTGAGGTTTCTAACGAAAGAACTGAAACATTTCATCACACACTCCGTGAAGAACCATGACGGACTTTCCTCGAAAGAAAATGTCCTTCTTTATGATCAAGAGCGCTGTGTGCACGGAGTAAACAGCTGACTTTACAATATGTGGTCTCAAGAGTTAAGAAGAACATTCATAGACGAGCATACAGTAAATGCTGTTATGAGACATTTCTGATTTTGTTTTGTTTTGTTGGGTTTTTTTTTTTGGGGGGGGGGGGCACACTCTCTTATTCTTCACAAAACAAGATCCATAAGAAATTGAAACGTCACCGTATTCCACACTCCACTATTTTACACAAGTCCACTTGAAAATTCCTTTTAAGATTGACGCAGCCCCCTTTAAAATCAACAACCACAACTGCAATAATAAAATTAAACAAAACAAAACAATACAAAACAAAACAAGAAATTGAAGAGAACACAAATCTAATCAATCCATGGAAACTGAAACAAAAAGATAAGGAAAACGCATCCCCCGCCCCAGCCCCCTTACCGCCTAGAAAAAGAATGAAAGAAAAAACTCCAGAAAATTGTCCCAAATGACGCTGTACGTTGTCGTTTTCGTTCAGTATAATTTGACGGGAAAGCAAAACTGAGTAGATGATAAAAGACAGGACACACACGTTGAGCGAGAGAGGGAGAGAGAAGGAGAGAGAGAGAGAGAGAGAGAGAGAGAGAGAGAGAGAGGGGGGGGGGGGGGGGGGGGGGGGGGGGGGGGGA